CCGCGTGGGGCCGGGCCATGGGGCAGGAGCACCCGCGGGGGGGTTTCAGCAGCTACTGGGGGTTCCCTGCTCCTGGGGATGGGGGGTGAGGGCTTGTCTGCCTGTTTTATACCCGGCCGGAGGTGTCTGCGTGGGGTTTCCATGCGGCGCGCTCCGTCCTGAGTGGAATTGGTGGGGGGTGCACGGGGTGGGGGGCTGCCTTTGCCATTACTGAGCTTTGTTGGGGAGGGGGGGGTCAGTGGGAACCAGCGTTGGATGGTGTGGAGCTGGGGGGGGGCTTTTAGCAATTCACGCCTTGAAGGTAGAAGAAAAACGACGTAAGGAGGAAATTTTTGATGCTGAGGCTGCCCAGCGAGGTGGTGGGTGCCCCATCCCAGGAGACTTTCAAGGTCAAGTTGGCTCTGAGTGAGCTGAAGATGTCAACCTTCGAGGCTTTGCAGGGGGGGTGGAGTAGATGAGCTTTCAAGGTCCCTCCCAGCCCAAAGCAGTCTGTGACTCGAAGGGACGTGCCGGTGCCCAGCACCCCTGCGCAGCTCCCAGCAGTAACTGGGATTCCGTCAGCTGGGGCTTGGTGGGGGTCTCTCGAGCCAGTCTCCATCTTCTTGCCGTGCTCAGGGCCCCGCAGGAGTAGGTTTGACATTGAAATGACTGAAGGGCTCTTTCCTTTCCAGATTATCAGCTGACGAGCGCTGAGTTGTCTTCGCTGCCAGCGTTCAGCTCACCTGGGGGGCTGTCCCTTGGCAACATCTCTGCCTGGCAGCAGCAGCAGCAGCAGCAGCAGCAACAGCAACAGCAACAGCAGCAGCAACAACAACAGCAGCAGCAGCAACAACAGCAGCAGCAGCAGCAACAGCAGCAGCAGCAACAGCAGCAGCAGCAGCAGCAACAGCAGCACCTGGTTCCTGTATCACTAGGAAATTTAATGTAAGTGAAACGGGCACCAGGAGCCACTCGGTTGATGTTGGAAAAGGAAAAAGAGGGAAACGGGGAGTTTCCTCCAAGGTGTCAAAGCTGCAGAACCCGAGCTGTGACTCCCCAGCTGGGTTATCATCAGCCTCCCACTGCAGGGCCCCAGCAATTACAGTGGGGCTTGAGCTGTGCTTCGAGGAGGTGCCCACGGCTGCAGGAGGAGCCAGACCAGCCAGCTCAGGAAGTTTGGGGAATCTTGTCCCTGCCACTGTCGTAGGAGTGACCCTGGAGTCCGCAGATGGGATCCGGGTGGGCTGGGTGATGCTCTCTGACAGCTGCTTCTTGCTGGCTGTCTGCAGCAGGAGGAGCCCCCACTCACACCGGGGAGCTGAGCTCCAGCAAGAGCCGGGGTTAAATGGGATGGTGGTTGCAGAATAAGGTGTCTGGAAATGGTGGTCCCGCTCGTGGAGAAAGAGGGGAGCTCCTAATAGTGAAAATGAATTGCTTTACCCCCGGGGGGGAAAAAAAAATAATCAACTTGCATATTGGAGGAGGTTTTCTGGTGTTTCTAGCTTTTAGTCTGGAATAAAACATCCACACACGGGGTTTCTTCAGAGTATCTCCCCCTCTGCTCTGCTCTGAGACCCCCCTGCAGGGCTGGGTCCAGCTCTGGGGGCACCAACAGCAGAAGGACACGGACCCGCTGGAGCGGGGCCAGAGGAGGCCACGGAGATGCTGGGGGGGGCGGAGCCCCCCCTGTGAGGACAGGCTGGGAGAGTTGGGGGGTTCAGCTGGAGGAGAGAAGGCTCCGGGGAGACCTTAGAGCCCCCCTTAAAGGGGCTACAGGAAAGCGGGGAGGGACTCTTGATCAGGGGGTAGGGACAGGATGAGGGGGAACAGTTTTCAACTGACAGAGGCGAGATTTAGATGAGATATAAGTAAGAAATTCTTCTCCATGAGGCTGGTGAGACCCTGGCACAGGCTGCCCAGAGAAGCTGTGGCTGCCCCCTCCCTGGCAGGGTTCAAGGCCAGGTTGGACAGAGCTTTGGGCAACCTGGGCTGGGGGAAGGTGGCCCTGCCCAAGGCAGGGGGGTGGGACTGGATGGGCTGTAAGGTCCCTCCCAACCCAACCCATCTTCTGTGTGATTCTATGATTTTAGTCAAAATAAAAGATTTAAGCTAAGCCTGTGGGACGGAGGCAGGAATCGAAGATGGAAATTCTGTGACGTTGCCCCAAAGCCAGCTCAGGACTAAGACTCTCACATGCCCAGCGTGCAGCGCCAGGTGGATGTGGGGGTGCCCCAGGCTTTTAAACACTGAATTCCGCGCGTTTCTCCACTGCCTGGAGCACGTTCTGCAGGCAGGGCAGGCAGCAGCTCCCCCAGTAGCTGCCTGGACCCCCTGCACCAGTGGGGCTGCGGGAAAAGCCTGGCTGCAATTTCAGGTTGTAGTAAAGAGGCTGAAGAGGTTCCTGGCTTGGAACAAAAGCGCCCACCCAAGCCCTACACTGGATTTTTGCAGCCCATGCTGGGCCAGATTTGTGGGTGAGCCCATGGGATGGGGGTGTCCCTGCCTGTCCCTCTCCTCCACGCGTTTGGGGGGACAGCGGGTGGGATCGGGGCTGGATCACGAGATGCTGCCTGCAGGGTTTAATCCTGGCTCGGCAGCGATGCGTCATGGTGAGTGCACGGATTATGAATTCTGGAGTCCAAATAATTCCTAATTCTAATTGTGAATCCAGATTTATCGTCTAATCCAGATGTATAATCTAATCCAGATTCGTAATTCTGGATTCATTCAGCCCCGGGGTGTGCGGGTTACAAATTCTGTGGATTGGAGGGTGAAAGGCCACTGAAAAGATGAATAATAAGAGACTTCCCGTTATCTCCCCCTCCATCTGTTTCTCCCCCTTCCTCCCCTCCTCCTCTCCTCCTCCTCCTCCTCTCCCAACCTCACACCCCAGACAAGGGAGTCACTTGTCCCACACCACCACTTTGACTGTCAACACCAACCCCAACATCAGCATCAAGTCGGAGCCCGTCTCGCCCAACCGGGAAAGAAACACTGCCACCCCGCTCAGCACCTTCCCCCACC